CCCGCACACCCCCTACCCCTGCAGCCCTTGGGATCGCCCCGTCCCTTGTTGCATGGATCTCTGCGCTCCCCCCCGCCCCCTGCACTGCCCCACGGCTCCCCACACGTCCTGCTCTGAGCACCCTGTGGCTCTTCCCTCTTTACTTGCACCCAGCCCTGCCCGCCCTGCCAGCACATTGAGCTCCCCCTTGGGGCTGTAACCGCCCTGATCTTGCAGCTGCTCTTCCCAGGGATGCTCCTTCCTGTGGAGTCCCCACTCAGCGCTCCCTCTCCTTCTCTCCCAAGTTCTCGAACTTGCTAGGCACTGTTTATCGGCGTGGAAACCTGAATTTCACCCCAGATGGTAACTGTGTCATCAGCCCCGTTGGGAACAGAGTCACTGTCTTTGACCTGAAAAAGTAAGTGATTTCGGCTTGCACCATCTATGCCTTTCTTGCTGACATCTTCATTTAAACTCCTAAAAGGCTGGCCCCAAAATAGGGTTGGGGATGCTGGATAGTGAAGTGTGTGGATGCGACCACAGCAGTGGGCAAGGGATTACTGGTAGGAAAACTTCTAGCCTAGTGGTACAGGTCTATGCAAGACCTGGATTCAGTTCTTGGCTGGATATTGATCTGCTTCTTTGGGCAAGTCACTAAATCAGTCTGTACCTCTGTAAAATGGTTCTCCCTATTTCTTTGTGGTGTTATAAAATGTACTGATGACTGGTAGGCATACAGATGAGCCCTGTATGAGGAACTCTATATGTGATAGTGTGAAAACCTGAAAAGAACAGGATTAGTGTATGGCTAGTTAATCAGTGACAAGCAGGCGGAAGATTTTGCTTTGTATACAGACACTGCAGGCTTCCAGAATAAAAGTGCACGTAGTACTTCTTCTCAAATGAAAAGTATCTTGGTGAAAGGGAGGGGAACAATCTGCCTGATACAAAGGTGTCTGGAATAAAAAATTACTAGCAATTTCAGACTCCACCACTCCCTTGTAGTAGGATTGTTCTTTTAAAGTGAAGCCTTTATACAGGTTGGACCTCAGTAGTCTAGCACCCTCAGGACCTGACTGGTGAGGGAATTTGCCAGAACAGGGGAAGTCAACCATGGCACTTACTGTCAGCCTCCAGGCAGCCTTTTTCCCAGCCTGTCGATGGCTGCGTACCCTGGCCCTGGATTCCTAGCCAGTCCCTCTCCCCTTCTGTAAAAGGCTGCCAGGAGATTTCAGAGAATGCATGTTTCATGTGTAGAGCCCTGCATGGATATAAATTTTTTATCTGCATCTGATCCACAAGTATGGTCTGTGGATATAGAATGGATGTTTGCAGATTTGCAGTGCTCTATTCATGTTCCTGGATCTGGAAGAGCAGCTGTACAAATGAAAACACTTTAAAACCACAAGTCAAGATGGCCAATAATGTCAGTATGCATTTGATGTGGTGTCCCTGATCTCTACTTTTAACCTTCCTATCTTGAAAGGTCTGCATTGTGGTGCTGTGCACTAGGCAGCTTTGCATTCAGCATCACTGCTTCTTCATTCACAAGGGTTACTATTGAACAGTGTGAAGTAATCCCAAGGTTTACGCACCGTTTCCACATTGCTCCCAGCCCATGCTGACCCTTTACTAGCAATTAAGTCATATTCCTATGAAAATGAAAAGCGTTAATATATTGCAAAGTCATTAGATCACTGTTACACCATTGTGATTAATATTGTTTTATTGATTTTCTTTTCCTCCAGTAATAAATCGGAAACGTTACCATTGGCAACACGGCACAATGTCACATGTGTGGGGCTCTCTCCAGATGGAACTCTTGCCATATTAGTTGATGAAGGTATTTGGTGAGGGGGAGTTTGTTCCTAAAGGGGTGTCAGAGGACTACAGCAGACAATCCATTTTATTAAACATGATAATTATCCATAACTAGCCACACTTGAGAAAAACTAAAGTCTGAAAACATACATTTCTTCCTCAGAATTTTCAAAGTTATTGAATGAGAATGTGGCTTCTTTAATTTTCTTCAGATTTACTATACTAATTCTTTTAACTGGTGTTCCACTGAAAAGCCCGCCCCAACCCCAGAAATGATGATTGGATTAAAAAAAATTAAATCTACGCATCTGTAGTTTATTTAGAATGTCAAATAATTTCAGTGATCCCTTTCCTTCCTTTCTTACAGAGGGAGCTGCCTTGCTTGTCAGTTTGCTCAGTAAATCTGTAATACATCAGTTCCATTTTCAGAAGCCAGTGCACTGTGTCTGCTTTTCCCCAGATGGCAGGTAAACAGAATCTTTAAAAAACCTTTTAAAGTGTGTAGGTAATGAAAGCTGTAATTGATTTAAACGTTTGGGTAAGTCAAGGAATAAAATTTGTTAATCTGTGGTGCTGGAGGGGTTGGAGGAAGTAATCAATGAATATTTGAACTGAGTCAGTTTCTGTACGCTGGACTGTGGGTTATGGGGCAGAGTAGATGAGTGGGAGATAGTCAAGCTTCACACCTTGCTTTTTTCCAGGATACTCTTTGCCTCTGGTAGGGCACTATTTTAAAATCTTTATTCTGACTTCACAATATGTTTTCTCATGGGAAAATGCAACTTCTTTGGTGCAGAGGTGTCTAAGAGATACACATGTTGATGCACCAGAGGTTAAAGTTAAGGTTTTATATTATAGGATCTTAAGTGGTGATAGAGAACTTATTTAGAACGGGGTAGAGTCTGTCCATGAAAATAGTAAAAAGGTGAGGGTTTAGGTATACTGAAAAGGGTATCTTAATTATTGACATTTCCTTGCTTCTAAGAGTTTGTTTTCCTGGAGCTATCTTAATTGATTTTAATTACCATTTTTCTTTGTGGGTGTAACAAACTGTTTATGTACATATGTACAAATTTGGTGAAATGGAGGGCGCTATAGACACAGGTGATGTAGTTTACATGCCAGGACTTTTTTACTCTTCTAGCTTAGCAATAGTACATATATATCCTTTAATCACACAAGAAGAAATACCCCCATTCTAATATTATTTTGGTGTGTTGTTCATGTTTCTAGCACTGAAAGACTGGCTCCTTCTACAATTCTGTGGATGATTTTGCTCTCTGTTTTCTGTGTGATAGGAAATTTGTGATCACGAAGGACAATGTTGCTCTTATGTACCATGCCCCTGGAAAGAAGCGAGAATTTAATGCGTTTGTGCTGGACAAAACTTACTATGGTCCATATGATGAAACAACATGCATTGACTGGACTAATGATTCCAAGTAAGTAGTTACAACAATCAGGGGGACTTGTGCTCCTAGCTCCTTAGATGGTCTTGTGAGCCCCACTTTACAGTAAATTTTGGTATACATCAGAAGAATGTACATGTTGGATCCTGATATTTTGCTCAGATAAAAATTACATTTGTTTGTTTATGAAAGCTCTAGTCCAGTCTCCAAATTCTCAAGTCTCTCATTGGCTTTGAAAGCTCCTTTTGATTTCTCAATTGCTCAGTGTATTTTCTTAAATCTATACATAATTAATTTTTTTAAAGCTGTCTGAATACGTATCTATAGCATATAGACACATCTGAAGCAGCAACCGGGTACAACCATCCCTTAAAATGTGTCTCCACATGGGGGGCAACTCTTATGGAGTGTGTGTAGTTGACACTCTCTCTCTCTCTCGCTCTCTCTGCCGATTCAATTCTTGGCATCCCTGTCAAGATTGCCAGTTGTAGTGTAGACAGCTGTCCAGTCTGAATCACGTTAAATGTCTGCACCTCTCTGTTAAAATGGCATCCACATAATGGGAAAGTTTGTGAACCCATTCGCTGATCTGACTTGCCCTGTATTTTCTTTTGTAGGTGCTTCGCAGTTGGTAGCAAGGACATGTCAACATGGGTGTTTGGAGCTGAGCGATGGGCTAACTTGATTTATTACTCTCTTGGGGGGCATAAAGATGCAATCGTAGCCTGCTTTTTTGAAGAGAATAGTCTAGATGTATGTAAAGAACTTATTTGAATGCTCATATTAAAATTGTCTCAGCATCTTTCCATCTTTAGATAACCCTACTGAATTTCCTTTGTGCTCATATTCCAGTGAAGTGTTCCATAGAAATTACTGATGGAAAATACCTATTAGATTATTTAAGGTTCTGTAATTCAAAGATGATTTACCAGATTGTCTTTTAGAAGTTGCAGAAATGTTTTTCTCTGTCGTCAGAGTAAACCTTGTAATTTTCAAGATAAATGAATTTTCTAAGCCAAATGTATAGGGGCACTAAAATAATGTTTTATATTGTAAACTGGTTACAACCTGAACTATCAAGTAATCTGTTTTATGATGGGCTGATATGCTGTTTAGTTCAGCTGATTATGATACCATAGGGTTGTATGATGTTCACAATAGATGTATGTGTGTTTTATACTCCAGCTATACACAGTTAGCCAGGATGGGGCTCTGTGTGTGTGGCAGTGTGATACAGAGCTGGACGGTCTAAAGCCCATGCCTCCCAAAGATAGAACTGAAGACAAAAATGAGTCAGTGAAAGACCTGGGTGAAGATTTTATTGAAGAACCCAAGGGTGAGGTGATTCATGGAAAAGCCACTACAAATGAACAAGAAAGGAGAGAGAAAGTGAAATATTCACGTGCAGCAAAGTAGGTGATCTTTCAAAAATAACAGGGATCTGTCTGTCTGTCTCATAGACTTTAAGGTCAGAAGGGACCATTATGATCATCTAGTCTGACCCCCTGCACAGTGCAGGCCACAGAATCTCACCCACCCCTCCCAGAATAATCCTCTCACCTGTCTATCTAAATGTTTAAAAGATATAGCATAGATTCATTGCAATGGCTTCTGCTCACTTTGCATTAATTTACTCTGTTTTATTTGAAGCTAGTGGACAAATCTATCCAACTTTCAGTCATTAAATCTTGTTATTATTGCCTTCAATAGAACATCCTTTTGTCATTCCCTGAGCATGTGAATAGTGATTTATACAATTTGTGAGGAATAAATAGAAGATTTCCCTTCATTTGCTAAGGATTAAATCAGTGTTCTTTTGTTTTATGGCACAAAAGATTGCTTGCAAAGTTTACACTTTAAATTAAAAGCAGAGGAGATGTAAAGAGGTCCAAAGTGTGCCATCTTGCAGTAGCGTTCATAGATGTTTTGTTTCTGCTGCTGTGGAGCTATATTTCTGTGAAGAAATATGGGTTGACATCAAAGTACTGAATTTTGGTGCAGTGACATTAGCTTCTGATAGGTAGTAGATAACTTCAGCAGTTTGGGTGACCTTTCTGAAGGAGTGCTACATTTTCAAAAGCGACGAGGAGTCCTGTGGCACCTTATAGACTAACCGAAGTGTTGGAGCATAAGCTTTCGTGGGCAAAGAATCAATGGACACAAATCAGATATTAGGAATGGCAACATACAAAAACCTGTTGGGGAACACTTCAATCTCCCTGGACACACAATTGCAGATCTAAAGGTAGCCATCCTGCAGCAAAAAAACTTCAGGACCAGACTTCAAAGAGAAACTGCTGAGCTACAGTTCATCTTCAAGTTTGACACAATCAACTCTGGATTAAAGACTGTGAATGGCTTGCTAACTACAAAAGCTTCTCCTCTCTTGGAATTCACACCTCCAGATCAGCTACTAGAAGTGGGCCTCATCCTCCCTGATTGGCTCCACCTCGTCATCTCCAGCCTGATTCTGGCCTGCATATCTATACCTGCCTCTGGAAATTTCCACTACATGCATCTGACAAAGTGAGTCTTTGCCCACGAAAACTTATGCTCCAACACTTCGGTTAGTCTATAAGGTGCCACAGGACTCCTCGCTGCTTTTGTAGATTCAGACTAACACGGCTACCCCTCTGATACTTGACTACATTTTCAAATAAGACTTATTTTGTAGTGTGAAACAGTCTGGGGTATATTGTCCTATAGTGTAAGGAAATTTTTAAAATGGAATATGCAATTGTTGGATAACATTCGAACTTATGTTTATTTATCCCTGAGAGCCATCAAATACAAAACAGTCATAAGAGCTACAGAGTACCAAGAGTACAGTATTTAGCTCCTGTGCTTCAATTACTCATTTAGATTAATCTAAGAATTCAGGGATAGACACCTTAAGCATCTTTCATTGTGTATAATCATATGCAACTTCTGTTAAATCATGTTACTATAATTGCTGTGAATCCGAGTCCATGATGGGAGGAGTGGTTCAACTGGTGGAATAAGGCAAAATATAAAGAAAAGCAACTTGAAGAACTGTGTTTTATTGTTTTTTGTGGCACTACCTCCGAAGTACTTGCCATATATTGAATAGTCATTGCAAGAGTACATCTGTCATTCATCTTCACATTGTTTTTGTGGTGTATTATCTTTGGCATATAGGTACTTTTTCAACAAAGAAGGAGATTTTAATAACCTGACATCTGCGGCTTACCACAAGAAAACACATCTTCTAGTCACTGGTTTTGCTTCTGGAATTTTTCACCTTCATGAGCTTCCAGAGTTCAACCTCATCCATTCCTTAAGGTTAGTATAATTGTGCAAGCCCCATAGCAGATCATTGTGCCTAATAATGAAGGAAGAGTGTAATGGAATGACAGTCTTGAATAGTCTACTGGGTGTTGTAATTGTCGTTTCTGTCATAAATTGAAATTAGGAAGCCACACTGATTAAAGAGGAACATTAATCTTTGAAAGATTAAATGAAGCCATTTAATTGCACTTAATTGCTTTATTAAGGAGAGACATGATTTGAACCAGGAACTGAGTTCTAATCCCAGTCTTGACAGACCCTCTTTATGATTTTGAATTAGTTATTCACCAGCTGGGTCAGTTTCTATTTGTATAAGATGAGAATGCTACTTACCGGTAATTACTCATGCCATAAAGGTATTAATAAATAGCATGTGTAGAGTGCTTTCAAGACAAAATGATATACCAGATGAATATTTTTATATATTTAAATGGCTGCTATGTAGAATGGTGTGCTAAACTTAAAAGGGATTGTGTAAAGAATGAAAGCACAATTTCCATTTACAACAAAGTAGATTTTTTTTCTAGACTATGGCAAATTTTAATCTTGTACCTCAAAGTAGCTCTTCACTCAAGTTCATAGTTGCTTTTTTAAAAATTCAAATTTGGGTTTTTTATTCCCATATTACATATTTGTTCCTTCTATCCCACGAGAAGTCTGAAAGATATCTGAAGAAATGATTCACAGCTAGCTCAACGCTGTCTTTTAATAAATAAAAGTTTTTTCAATTATTGAAATTTTCAAAGTTGATCATTTTTTAAGCAGTGTGGCAGTGTTTTTTGTCTGGGGTGAAATACATTTAGCGCATTTTAAAAAACACAAATTTCTTTACACATCACTTCAAATCGAGACTCATTTTAAAAAAAATTGATGGGGCTAAGGAGATTGTATTTGTTTAGTGATAGTCATTTTGTATTGATATGTTGTTGAGATCAGGAATGCTGACCAGCACCCAGTGACTAAGGGGTTAACTCAGGTACTTAGCAAAGGTGTGTGTGGATGGGGGCGGGAGGGTCAGGCAGTCAGTCAACAATAATGCAGGTAGGAATTTCAAACTGGAAAAGAGGGCTTCTTTCTCTCTCTCTCTCTCTCCTTTCTTTGAAAGCAGAGAACTTTCTCCCAGGTAATGAGGGAGATGGGAAACTCTTTCTCTCTTAAGGAACGGTCTTCTTGAAAGTTGGGAAAAGTTTAGATAGTCCTCAGGGTTTATTATTTTCCTTGTTTGGGGGTTTGGAAATCATGTCTGAGCTGGCTAATTGTTTTTCTCTTTTGTAACTAAGGATTACAGCCCAGGGACTTTCCCTGTGTGTGTATACAGGCAGTCCCCGACTTACGTGGATCCGACTTATGTCGGATCCCTAGATACGAACGGGGTGAGGCAACTCCCGCACATGCGCAGCAGCATTCCCGGGGCTCGCTCACCTGGGTCCTAGGATCCTCCTCCTCCTCGGGCCGGCTCCGACTGGGGTCCCGCAGAGCTGCCGGGCAGAGGAAAAGTGCCTCCCCACGCCCGCTGCCCCCCCCCTCATCCCCCTGCCAGCAACAGGCTGCCCCCCCCCCCCAGCAACAGGCTGCCCCACAGAAAAAAAAAACGCCC